TTGGGGGGGCAGGTTGAAGGGAGGTGGCCTGCCTGATGTTGGGGGGGCAGGTTGTTCCAGAGTTTGGGGCCCATGACTGAAAAAGCCCAATCTCCTCTGAGCTTCTTGTTTTTGGAACAACCAAAAGCAGCTGATCAGATGATCTCAGGGCCCGAGAGGAAACGTAAGGTTCCAGAAGCTCAGAGAGGTGAAGGGGTGCAAGGCCATTTAGGCATTTGAAGGTCAACACAAGAATTTTAAAAACTATCCTCGTACGAACAGGGAGCCAGTGAAGGGAGGACAGAACTGGTGTAATATGTTCAGACCTACGAGTTCTGGTTAAAAGCTGAGCAGCAGCATTCTGGACGAGCTGAAGATGTGAGATGGAGGCCTGGCTGATCCCAGCATGCAGTGCGTTGCAATAGTCCAATCGGGTCGTGACGAAGGCGTGGACTAGTTTCTCAAGGTCGGGTCTGGACAACACTGTCTTGAGTTTAGCTACCTGTCTGAGTTGGAAGAAGCTTTTTTGCAGAACAGAGTTGATTTGTTTGTCAAACTTGAAGTCAGAGTCTAAAACCCTCCCGAGATTTTTACCAGACTGCTTCAGATATGCATGAAGAGAGTCCAGGTTGACAGGATCAGTAGTGGCAGTTGAGCTAGGGCTAAAAACAATGACTTCAGTCTTCTCATCGTTAAAACTTAAGAAATTTGAAGTCATCCAGGCCTTAATGTCATCCAGACATTTTAACAGAGGGTGAATGGAGCAAACATTTGCTGGTTTCACAGGCAGGTAGATCTGACAGTCATCAGCATAGCAATGGAATGAAAGACCATGTTTCCTCAGGATGGACCCCAGTGGGAGCAAATAAGGTGAGAACAGAAGGGGTCCAAGAATCGAACCCTGTGGGACCCCACATGAAAGAGGTAATGAGGCGGATACATTATTACCAACCTTGACACAGAAGCTCCTGCCACTCAGGTATGAGCAGAACCATTCTAATGCAGCACCTGTGATCCCAACCCACTGTTCCAGCCGTGATATAAGGATACTGTGGTCAACAGGATCAAAAGCAGCAGTAAGGTCCAGGAGCACAAGTACCACAAATTGACCAGAATCGTTTGAGATCATAATGTCATTACAAACCCTCACTAAAGCTGTTTCAGTGCTGTGGAGTCGCTTAAAACCAGATTGAAAAATTATGAAGATTCTGTTCTCATTCAAAAACTTGTTTAATTGAATGAAAACTATTTTCTCCAGGATTTTGGACAGGAAGGGAAGTTTTGAGATTGGTCTGAAATTTGAGCAAGTCGAAGGGTCAAGTCCAGGTTTCTTAATTAACGGATGAACTACTGCATGTTTGAAAACATCGGGAACCACACTTGTCACAATACTACTATTTACAGTAGTAAGAACAGAGGGTCCAATCGTGGGTTTACAACAAAGACTCCAAGAACTAGCAGAAGAACAAAAGCTTTGTTTAAAACTAGTGCATGCCAGGCGGGTGATAGGTCTTCACTTCTGTTGTGTGAGTCTGTGCGTGCTGCACAACGTTACACGACAAAGAAACGCTGTAAAAGTAGCAGCAACAGATCAACACAAACCCAGAAAACAGCGGAGAGGACGCTCAGCTTGGTTTTTGTTTAATTGGAGAGTTTGAAACTCCAGCACTGCTCAGCAGCTCCTGGGTTTCTGGTACCACATCTGCTGGTTCTGATAGGACATCTCTGACTCACCTGTCCTCCTGGACTGACAGGTGACAGGATGATGTAATTGTCTCCGTTTGATGATGTCACACGAGTGCCTTTAAGCGTGGCAGTGTTTGATGAGAACACTTCCTGATCTTCCTCTTCACCCTCCTCCTCCTCCTTCCTGTCCCTCCACAGAGAACCCAGAGCCCCCAGACTGGACCGGACTCCAAAGTTCTGACCCCGCCGGTGGCCATGTTTGCTGTGGGAGGGGTGGGACAGCAATTTGTTGCCAGTTACCTTGGAAACAAAAAGGTCATTAGCATGAAGATTGCTACATCAGAGTGATGTCATCACGAGCGAGGAGTTAACACTCAGGTGTGACTCACGGTGCTGTGAGCTGGTGGGCGGAGCAAAGTTTCACACCCAGAGCTGACTTCAGGTAAACCTCTCCACACCACCATGGCGATGTGTGAGGGACAGCTCCTGAGGAGAGACGAGTTTCAGGACAAATGGACAGATGTCTCTGAGTAAATCTCAAGTGGAAACTATTCTGGAAACGACTTTTAAAAGGAACCAAAACACCGTCCGTGAGTTCTGTAGAGGTCTCAGTGACAGGCAGGTGCAGCTGTGTGGACTTACCTGACCAGGTGTGGACTCAGACAGGAAGTAGTTACCTGATGGCTTGGGCCAGGTCCACACATTTCCAGGTTTCTACAGGGAACCCATTGAGCTGCAGGACCGAGTCTCCTTGACGGAGTCCGGACTGATGAGCCGGACCGCCTGCAAACACAAACGGGTCCGATGAAATCAGGCAGAGGAGTCACATGACAGCCAGCCAATCAGGAGACTACGTCAAGGCAAGGTCATTACCTGGTCCAGCAGGATTACGTTGGACCATTGACAGTGTTAATCAGACATTGATGTGTAGCCCTCTGCTGGCTTGAGCTTTAGCTTGTGTTTATCTTCCTTTAGCTCTTAGCTAGAAGTTACCTTCAGCTAGTAAATATTTAGCTACTTTTAGCTTTAGCTAGTGTATCTTCTTTTAGCTCTTAGCTAGTATTCAACTTGTCAGTGAATATTTCGCTACTCCTAGCTTTAGCTAGAATTTAGCTTCTGTTAGTGAATATTTAGCTACTATTAGTTTTAGCTAGTACTTAGCTTCTGTTAGTGAATATTTAGCTGCTTTTAGCTATTAGCTAGTATTTAACTTTTGTTAGTGAATATTAAGCTACTCGGCTTTAGCTAGTACCATATTAAGCTTCTGTTAGTGAATATTTAGCTACTCTTATAGCTTTAGCTAATGTTTTTCTCCTCTCTTTTAGCCCGTATTCTGCCTTTTTGGATGATATTTTGCTAGTTTTAGCTAGTGTTTACCTTCAGTCAGTTTCAATTCTGTTATCACCATTTTGTTTTTACAGTCCTGATGAATCAAAGTCCAGAGCTGAAAGACAGTGGACTTTGATTGTCCCAGGACCACCATTGTCCCCCTGTGGGGATGTTTGTGAGGCTCACCAGGATCCACAGCTTGGACTCTGACTGGACCGTCGGAGCAGATCGTGAATCCAAAACCATCTTTTCCACGACTGATGGAGACCTGCAGGACAGAGTTCAGAATATCAGCTGAAACACACCAAGTCCACCTGAAGTCCACCAGCAGACCTTCAGCAGACCTTCAGCAGGTCACAACAACTTTCTCCTTTTAAAACTCTCATTTCATGTGACAGCTCCTGAGTAAGGAGGCGCTGATCCAGAACCGCTTCCTTCAGTTCTGTTGACAAAGTCTGGTCTGTTTGTGTCAGGTCCAGCCCAGAGGCCCATCTTGGTCCTGGTCTCGGAGCCGTTTCCATGACTCTGCAAACAGGGACAGAAAGGTGGACGCCTCCTGACTCTGTCCTCCTCACAAAGGAAGTTAAAGGTCCCCGAGTTCAGACTGACAGGCTGATATTAAAGTTCCTGCAGCTCCTGAGGTGACGCAGCCCGGGGTGAAGGTATTTAAGACTTGGTGTTTGGGCCTCACGGTTCTGTTCAAACAGGAACCAGAACTCCCAGCTGTGAGACAGGAGAACATTCAGAACCAGGACCAGAATCTGGACCAAACAGAGGAAATGGTCTGACTACATCCTGAGTCTTACAGTGGAAACACACTGATCCAGAGTCCAGCTCAAGACCCCGCCCCCACCTTGGTTCTGGTTTCAGTTCTGAGCAGAATGGGTCAGAACCAGTCAGAACCTTCAGATGCAACCTGAAAACAAACAGGATTCTGGTCTCTGGTGCTTCCACAGCAGAGGAACTCACTCGGTGCTGCAGGTCAAGCTGTACGACTTGTTATCAGGTTGATTGTTACAGTCAGGGCAACGATGGTTAAATATATTTAATCTATAGTCAATAATAATTGATCACTTTCATTTAACAAAATCAAACATTAACATTTTACCTTAAAAAAAAATAACCGACCTTTAGAACATGTGCACAAAAAGAAATACAAAGAGGATTCTTCATTCTAAACATTTTCATTATTGATTATCGATCAGACGTGAATGACTAAAAGCTGTCAGTCTATTAACGGTTTGGTCAACTAAGATTTTTTTTTGATTGATCAAATAATTATTGATCGATAAAAGCTGTCAGTCTTTTTATCAGTGGTCTGACAAACTAATCAGTCTCCTGATCAATCAGTTGAAAAATCTGGACTTCATTGTACGACAGCACAACCAGAAGTCCTAATATGGTCATCCTGATAAATTTGTTTCATTTTCTTTAAAAGCTGAGAGAAGAAACTGATCCTGCTGTTCAAAGAAATCATCCAGTTTAAATGTGTGTGAATTAATGACACATACACACGCATGCACACACACACACACACACACACACACACACACACGTTCATCTGTCTTATTTGGAACTATGCATTGACTTAAGTTAATTTATCATTCATTTCTGTAGACTAAACCTGACCCTAACCAGTACCAGTACACACCTAACTAACCCTAACCAGTACACACCAAACTAACCCTAACCCCCTAACCAG